TGGGTGTTGCTGTTGGTAACTGTGATATGGAGGACAAGCAGATCTTCCAGAATGTGCAGATGAGTGTCAATTTCCTTGTCTCACTTTTGAAGAAGAATTGGCAAAATGTGAGTTATTATCAATGCCTGTATTTCTCAAACTTGTTGCGACTTTCTGCTGACTAATTTGATGTCTTTTGCTGCAAAAAACCAGGTGAAGTCCCTGCATCTAAAGAGTACCATGGGGACACCAGTCCGGCTCTACTAAGCGAGTTCTACTTTACAGCGTGATAGTTCTGGAATGCTTTCTGAACAGAGCTTATGATTGTTTTCGGAAATATGAAGTTTATGTCGTTGGATTTTTCCTTGCATTTTTCTTGAATGCTTAGCATTTTTGTTAAGTCTGATTTGTCCATAGATCATCATAGCCTTAATGATCTCATTGCCTGGATTGTGACTTGGCTTGTCCTGGTGGCTCCTATTAGCCTAGGTTCGACGTAATTAGCATAATCTGTTCATGTTATATTTCTCGGTTCGAATGTCTTCGATCATTCATCATCGACTGGTATAGTTTTTATTTTTTTATTTTTATTTTTAATAATGAAAATTCTACATTCGAAGTTTACCTTCTCACACGATAATATATTTATTTTTTTGTTTATTTGAGCTCCAAGGTTTTTCTTTTCTTTTACAACACCAACCTTTTCTTTTACAACACCCTATCTCCATGGAAATACCAGGGGTTATTCAAGTGGCTGGTTTTATAAATTAACCTGAATTAGTTTGGAAAAGTTTAAAAAAGTATTTAAAATTTTAATATTTTATAAAAAAAATTCAGGTGAATATAAGTTATGTATTATAAATAATAAAATTTAAGAGAATATTTTAAAAAGTTTTTTATTTATATTAAAAATATATTATGTTATTTTTTTAAGTTGAAATATTTAAATAAAAAATATTTTTTTATTTTATATTAAAAAAATATAATTTTTTTTTAATGAACATGAAGGATATATATTAAAGGATTTTAAATTTTATATTGAAAAGATACTATGTTATTATTTTATGTTGATGTATTTAAACTATTTTTTCATTTCATATTGAAAAAATATAATTTTTTTTTAATGAACATGAAGGATATATATTAAAGGATTTTAAATTTTATATTGAAAAGATACTATGTTATTATTTTATGTTGATGTATTTAAACTATTTTTTCATTTCATATTGAAAAAATATAATTTTTTTTTTTGTAAATATGGAGTATATATATGAAAGAGTTTTAAATTTTATATTAAAAAAATAATTTTTTTTCTTGAAAATATTGAGTATGTATGCTAAAGAATTTCAAATTTCATATTAAAAAAATATTTTTTTTATGTTCATTCAAATTTCATATTAAAAAAATATTTTTATATTGAGTATGTATGCTAAAGAATTTCAAATTTCATATTAAAAAAATATTTTTTTTATGTTCATTCAAATTTCATATTAAAAAAATATTTTTTTTTTTGTGAACATAGAGTGTATACATGAAAAGACTTCAAATCTAATATTAAAAAAAAATATTTTTTTAACATAGAGTATATATATTAAAAGGCATCAAATCCAAAATTCAAAAGATAATATGTTATATTTCTAAGTTGAAATATTTAAATCAAAATTTTTTTTATTCTATATTAAAAAAAACATAATTTTTTTTTATAAATATAGAATATATTTACCAAAAGATTTCAAATCTTACATTAAAAAAATAACTATTTTTTTAGAAATATATAATATATATACTAAAGGTTTTTAAATTCCATATTAAAAAAATATAATTTTATTTTATAAATATAAAACATTTATAATTTTTTTTTGAGAATATAAAGATTTATATATTTTTTAATTTTAGTTAATTTGTTTTTTATCAAATATCAATTTATTGAATAAGATATACATGCAGACCTTTTTATTTATGATAAAAAAGATTTTACATCTAAAAACATATTTAAAAATTTAATTTTTTTAAATAAAAATTATTGATCTCCAAGTACAAGTCAGCTAAAACGAAGGGTTATTTATATCAGAGAACTGTACAGGTAGTCAATTTGAAAGGAAAGCCAGACCAATCATAGACAAGGAATCAAAGCCATTTGATTAGTCAAGGAGGCACTGTCAAGAAAGTTTTTCTTCAGAGAAAGTTAGGTAATGCTGCTTTTCGTGACACGTGTTCCCTTTTGAAGAAAGCGATCATACTTTTTTTTTTTTTTTCAGAGCAGCAAAGTGTTATCCAACAATTTTCCTTCACACGGGGTGCTTGGAATTCTTATAATTAGATTTAATTTCAATGATTAAACTAATTTTTTATTTAAAATCATTTTAATGGTATTGATTTTAATTTTAAATATAATTAAATTATTCAAAAATAAAAAATTACCTTCTATTTTGATACAGTAATTCTCTTAAAAATAATATTCTAAGAATACCCTTAACAACATAAATCCTATTTTTTTTTTTGAAAAAAAACCCCACCGTCTCTTTCTTTATCTTTTTCCTTTTTCTAACACCTTCTTGCGCATAGAGAGCTTCGAATGCGAAACAATTAAAATATTATTTGAAATTGGCATAAATTATATTTTAGAAAAATCATTAATAATAATTAAAAAAATTAATAAAATTAAAAAATTAATATAAATTAAGATATTCAATAAAATAAAATAAAATATTCACTTTATTGTGTTTGCTGAACTTGTTTATTACAATTAATAAAAATTAAATCATAACCTAAAAAACTTATGACTTAATTAAAAGAAAACATGAATAAAACTGATTAAATAAAGTTATGCATTATAAAAATATTATGCAAGGTTAAACATATCAATAATATTATTTAAAAATAATTTTTTTTAATTTTTAAAAATAAAATTTATTAGTATAAAACCCAAAAAAATTATAAATGAATTAGCCTAATAAAAAATCAAACCCAAAAGATATAAATGGAAGTATTTTTTTTTCTACTCTAAAAAAACATGAGGCTATTCTTTTGAACTATTAATTCAAAAGATATTAATGGTTACTTTCAGTATTTTTTTTTTAACTCCATGTTATTTTTTTGAATTAATCTGCTATGGACTGTCATATTATGATTATTGCGAGGTCATTTTTCTTTGATAATTTGGACGTTTATGATATTTACCAAAAGATTCACTTTTAATAAGATATTATTATTTTTATTATAATAAGGTCGATCCTGAGTTAAGTCCTGCTCTTGAATCCATCCTCCCTAATCTAATGCTCGGAAACTAGAGCTGGAGTGAAAAATTAAAATTAAAATTAATTTGAATTAATTTGCTATGAACTATTATATTATGATTATTGCGAGGTCATTTTTTTTACCCTGATAATTTGAATGTTTATGATATTTACTAAAAGATTCACTTTTAATAAGATATTATTATTTTTATTATAATATTTATTATTTCTATTATAATAAGGTCGATCCTGAGTTAAGTCCTACTCTTGAATCCATCCTCCCTAATCTAATGCTCGGAAACTAGAGCTGGAGTGAAAAATTAAAATTAAAATTAAAATTAAAATTAAAATAATAAAAATATTAAAATGATAGTGGTTAAAAAATAATAAATATAAGGGTTCTTGTGGAAAAAATATTTTTAGTTACAAAAAAATTAATTCTAAGATAAAATTATGTGAAATTGAAATGGTATAGTTGAATTTGATTTAATATAAATATAATAAATTATTAATTAAGTTCAAATCACGTGAAATTGAACTCAACTGTCCCAAGGAGGTTGGAAAACACTTGTTTTTTCTCACGGTATGGAATAAAGTTCATCCCTGGTGGGTGAAAAGCTGTTTCCGAACTTTCAAGCATCTCCCTCTTATCATCAATAGTTACCAAAGAGAAAATATGGCTGACACTGCCCTTGCATACGCAACCGAGGAGATCTTGAAAAGGGTTAGTTCACTTGTTGCTCACGGGGTCAATCTTGCATGGGGATTTAAGGGAGATATGAAAAGGCTGAAGGAGTCATTGATCATGATTCGGGCAGTGTTACAAGATGCTGAAAAAAGGAGAGTTACAGATGAATCCGTGAGGCTTTGGTTGGAGGAACTTCGAGGCGTAGCTTACGACGCTGAAGATGTGCTGGATGAGTTTAATTATGAGATTCTTCGTCGGAAGGTAAAGATTCAAAACAGTCTGAAAGGGAAGGTACGCCGCTTCTTCTCTTCCTCCAACCCAGTAGCATTTCATCTGAGTACGGCCCTAAAAGTTCAAAAGATCAAGGAGTCCTTAGATGAGCTTCAAAATAAAGCAACTTTGTGTGGAGTTCTATCTGGAGATACAGCTTCTGAACCTAGCCCGAACCCAAAGACAGATTCTTTCCTTGGCAGCTCAGAATTTGTCATAGGAAGGGATGGTGATGTCTTTAATATCATCAACTTGTTGGTTAGCTCTTGCAGCAAACAAGTTCTTTCTGTTATTCCTATAGTGGGAACGGCTGGGCTCGGAAAGACCACCGTAGCCAAAATGGTGCACCAAGAAGTTAAAGGTAGAAAACTTTTTGATGTAACATTTTGGATTTGTGTTTCTGGTAGTTTTGATGATGAAAGGATTTTAGGAGGAATGCTGCAAACTCTTAATGAGAACACTGGCGGGATAAGTGAAATAAATGCAATAATGACACATCTTGAAAGAGAGTTGAAAAATAAGAAATTTCTTCTTGTTCTTGATGATGTGTGGAATGAAGGATGTGAGAAGTGGGGGAGTTTAAAGGATCGTTTTTGAAAATTAGTGGGAGTAATAGGAATGCTGTTGTTGTTACGACTCGTCTTCCAGTGGTAGCATCCATAATGGAGAGTCCTGCATGTAGCTATAAACTGAAACGACTGTCAGAGGGTAATGTTGGTCAATTATTAGGGAAATAGTGTCTAGAAATGGAGGAGAGTCAATTCCTTCAGAATTGGAGGCTATCAGAGAAGATATTGAAAACAAGTGTGGGGGAGTGCCATTAACTGCTACAATTTTAGGGGGGATGCTGCTTTCTGAAAAGGAAAAGGAAAAATGGAGGTCAACAATAGACAGCGATGCTTTACCTATATTGAAATTAAGTTTTGATAATTTGCCTTCTACATCTCTGCAACGCTGTTTTGCTTATTGTTCTATTTTTCCTAAAGATTTTGAGATTGAAAAGGAGAAAGTGATTCAGCTTTGGATGGCTGAAGGGTTGCTTGGGCCATCTGGTAGAGAGATGGAAGATACAGGTGATATACGCTTTAATGACCTGCTTGCACGTTCGTTTTTCCAAGATTTCCAAACGGATGAGCTTGGGAATGTAATCAGTTGCAAGATGCCCAATCTTGTGCACGATCTTGCTTTGATGGTGTCAAAATCAGAGACAGTGATTTGGAAGGCTGGTTCAGATATAAAGGGTACAGTTTGTATCGGACGTCTAAATCTCATTTCTTCTGATGAGAGAAATGAACCTGTATTTCTAAAGGATGGTGCTAGAAAATTGCGTACATTATTCTCAGGATTCCTTAACAAGTCTTGGGAATTCAGAGGTTTGCGAAGTCTGACCTTGAATGATGCTCGTATGACAGAGTTGCCAGGTTCAATTTGCAGGATGAAACTTTTGAGGTATCTAGACGTTTCACGAACAGATATCAAAGCGCTCCCGAAATCTATCACGAAGCTCTATCATTTGCAAACCTTAAGATTCAGCGAGTGCCGGTCACTCAAAAAGCTTCCCAAGAAAATGGAATATTTGTTGAGCTTGAGACATATTGACTTTAGTCATACGCCAGCTCATGTTGGATGCTTAACTGGTCTTCGAACACTGCCATTGTTTGAAGTGGGTCGGGATAAGGGCCACAATATTAAAGAGCTGGGATGCTTGAAGGAACTAGGAGGGGAGTTGAGAATAGTCAATCTGGAGCATGTAAGAGCCAAAGAAGAAGCCAAGGGAGCAAACCTGTCTGGAAAATCAAAGATTAACTCATTAGTATTGGTATGGAATCCAAGCAGCGGCTCCAGGATCAATGAGAAGAATGTGTTGGAAGGCCTCCAGCCTCACCCAAAGATACGAAGCTTAGAGATTGAGAACTATAAGGGTGATGAATTCCCACCATGGCTTTTAAAACTCAATAATTTGGTGGTGCTGAAATTGAAAGGCCATTTTCCTCATCTTGAAATTCTTGAGTTAGAAGAATTGGATAGTTTAAGTTATATCGTCAGTGGATATAGAACAATGGCTGCTGCTTTGTGTCCAGCTTTAAAAAGAGTGTCTCTAAAGCACATGAATAATCTAATGGAATGGACAATACCTGAAGCAGCAGCTGGAGGAATGGAAGTAGCATTTCCTTGCCTTGAAGAGTTGGAATTTGATAAGTGTCCGAAGTTGAAAAGCATTCCATCTATGAGGCATTTTTCATCAAAACTTGTAAGATTGACAATCAGAGACTGTGATGCATTGAGTCATATATCTGGTGGAGTACAAGTACTATTTCCTCTTCTCGAAGAGTTGTACATTGAACGTTGCAGGGAGTTGAAAAGCATTCCATCAATGAGCCATCTCTCATCAAAACTTTTAAGATTGACAATCAGACACTGTGATGCATTGAGTGATATATCTGGCGAATTTCAATCCTCTATGACATCTTTTAAATATTTAACCATAGAGTATTGTTCCAGCCTGGCATCCATTCCAAGCCTTCAAAACTGCACAGCTCTGAAGGTATTGTCTATTTATAAGTGCTCTAAGGTGGTGCCTATTATTCTAGAATTGCATTCTCTTAGAAGTGTATCCATCCGTTCGTGTGAAGAAGCATGTGTTCGAATTAGGTGGCCACTATCCTGCGCAAATCTGGAGGATTTGAAAATAGAGCACTGCAGGGAGCTTATCTTTGATGATGATGCTGATGCTGATGATGATTTACATGGAGGAGAATTGTTGCCTTCTTCTTGTCTTCAATCACTAGTCATTATGCGTTGTGAATACTTGAAGTCTGTTCCTGATGGTTTAGAAAGAAGACTGCATTCTCTTGTTCGATTAGATATCAGTGGGTGTCCGAATTTAAGTTATATTCCGGAAGATTTCTTTGGCGGCCTCAAGAAATTGGAGGTATTGCACATTGGTGGTTTCTCAGAGGAATTGGAGGCATTTCCTGGAATGAATTCAACCCACCACCTGAGTGGTTCCCTCAAAGAGCTAAAGATAATTGGATGGAAGAAACTGAAGAGTCTACCAAATCAACTTCAACACCTCATCTCCCTTAAGAAATTAAAGGTCTATGGTTTCAACGGAGAGGAATTTGAGGAAACTTTGCCACATTGGTTAGCCAACCTTTCTTCTCTTCGAGAGCTTACAATTTTGGAATGTCAGAATCTCAAGTATCTTCCAAGTTCAACTGACATGCAACGCCTCTCCAAATTAACACTTCTGGACATTAGGAGTTGTCCGCTTCTTGAGCGAAATTGCTTAAAGGGCAGCGGGTCTGAATGGCCCAGGATTTCTCATATCCCAAGTATCAATATAGGTAAGTTTGAATTTCTATAATATCTGTCCGCTTTGAAATATATTTGTTTATATTAAATTTAATTGCTTCAATAATTTCTTTCTTTCTTTCTTTCTTTTGCATTGTTTAATTTAATTGCTTCCATGACAAATCCTCTTTCTAGGACTAGAGCGCAACTCCTCCAATATTAAATAAATAGCAAGTGAGGGAGCACAATCTTATTATCAATTTCATCAGGTCGGTTCTTCAGTTTCGAACCTTTTGGGTTTACATGGACTTAACCCATCAGTTTTTTTTTTCTTTCTATTTTTTTGTTTCATTTTTTCTGTTTATCTGAATTTTTTTTCTCATGTTTTTGTATAAGATCCTTATCCTGTGCAAAGCTGATGATAACTGATTCCTGTTTTTATAATTTTATTGTATACTTTTATGCTTCAACTCAGCTGGATTTCTCGCTGGCTTAATCTTTAACATAACCAGGAGACGGCGATCCGGTACAAAAGAGACAAGGCCTCCGTGCTGCACAGCCAGCCCTTCGCTTTGACTTCTGACAGGTATTTGGTTGTTTTCATCTTTTTATGTAATTATATTTTCAGGAGAACATACTTGTTCAGTCAACCAAGAATGAGTGGTTTTATGCAGAGAATATTATGATTCAATGCAATCCCGTAAGCATAGTAGATTTTTTTCTTGGGGTTGATGTTTCTCCCGATTTTGAGTCCTGGCAGGAGCAGCAGTGGATCAAGAAAGTTTCAATTGTGCTTCTCTCTGACATTTTAAGGAAACATCTCCACCTCCAGAGGTTTAATCATTTGTGAGTGTTTTGGCAATTGAGATGAACTATACAGTGGATTTGGTTGAGTAGATGATGGAAAAGTACTAGATGTAAAGGATATACACAATCCACTCAATACAAGTTGACTAGTTCAGCTTGTAAACCACCAACAATATATCTGTCCGCTTTGAAATATATTTATTTATATTAAATTTAATTGCTTTAATAATTTCTTTCTTTCTTTTGCATTGCATTGTTTAATTTAATTGCTTCCATGTTGTGCTTCTCTCTGACATTTTAAGGAAACATCTCCACCTCCAGAGGTTTAATCATTTGTGAGTGTTTTGGCAATTGAGATGAACTATACAGTGGATTTGGTTGAGTAGATGATGGAAAAGTACTAGATGTAAAGGATATACACAATCCACTCAATACAAGTTGACTAGTTCAGCTTGTAAACCACCAACAATAATTCAAAAGAGTTTCTTATCCTTTATCCTTAGCTGATGTAACAAACCTTGTAATCTGCAGCTCATGTTAAACGTAAAACATGTATTTAAACAGCAACAAGTATACTGAATAAAGAATCAAGAAAATTATCTCAATTCATCTGCTTCTTTATGGTATCAGAGATTTTGCTCTAACGAGATTAATTCTATCTTCTTTTCTTCTCTTCTCTTCATTTTTCTATTTTCTCCATGGCTGATCACAACAATTCCACACCAGCAACCCCTACGACTACCACCTCATCCACTGATCCTCCCATTCCTCTTGTTGCTCTTACCAGTGGTCAACTTCCTCTCAAACTTACTCATCTAAATTATCCTTCCTGGCGTGCTCAATTTAATTCTCTTCTCTTCGGATATGATCTGCAAGGCTTCATTGATGGAACCCATCCTTGCCCTGATCGCACCTCTACCACCTTCTCTCCATAGATGCGCCAAGATCAACTATTGCTACATGCCATCCGTATTTCAGTCTCTGACTCCATTGCTCCTCTTATTGCATCCACTACAGCCTCAAAAGAGGCATGGGACAAGCTTACTCGTCTCTATGCCAGCCATTCTCGGTCACGTGTCATGAGTCTTAAGGAACGTCTTGTTCGTCCTCGTGATTCCAGCTCTCTTAATGAATATCTCCGTTCTATTAAAACCATTGCTGATGAATTGGCACTCATTGATTCCCCTGTTTCTGATGATGATATCACCATTGCTATTCTTAATGGTGTTGGTCATGACTTCAAAGAACTCATAGCAGGTATTCGTGCTCAAAAACACCCTATCTCTTATGAAGAACTTCATGATAAATTAATTGGTTGAGGCATATCTTAAAAGAGAGGATTTACGGTCAACTTCATCAGTTTTGTCTGTCAATACTACTCAATGATATAATTCGCATCATGGCCATCAGTCCACTTGATTATCCAATCGCAAAGCTGTATTACCACATCACTTTCATCCTCAGTCCTTATGGTCAACTTCTCATCAGTTTTCTTCTCCTCAATCGGCTTCTCCCTGGCAATCCCATCGCAACAACTATCAAAGACGTGGCTACAGAGGTGTTTGTCAATTCTGTGACCAACAAGGTCATAATGCAAAGCAATGTCCATGAGCAAAGGGTCTCCTTGGTCCCTCACCGACTGCTAATTGCACCACCACAAACACTGCCCCTGTACAACCTTGGCTATTGGATTTTGCTGCCACCAATAATGTCACCTCTGATCTTCAAAACCTTTCCCTTCACTCACCTTATAATGGCCCTAATTCTATTCTCATCGGTGATGGTACATGTTTGCGTATCTCTCATTCTGTTTCCACTACACTTTCTCCTTTCACTATCTTTAATGTTCTTTGAGTTCCTTTAATTCAAAAAAATCTGGTGTCTGTGTCTCAATTTTGCAAACAACATCTAACTTCTATTGAATTCTTTCCCTCTCATTTTTCTGTGAAGGACCTACGCACGGGGCAGACTCTTCTTCAAGGCACGAATAAGAATGATATTTATAAATGACCTCTAACTGTGCATGTGCAACCGTCTGCTATGATTGGTGTTAAAACATCAGTGAATGAGTAGCATAAAAAGCTCGGTCATCCCTCTTCTCGCACATTTCAATCTCTTCTCCAAAAATTTTCTTTACCTATCTCATCCAAAAATATATGTTCAACATTGTGTTCATCTTGCCAATGCAATAAAAGTCACAAGCTTCCATTTACAGTGTCGTCTCTTACAAGTCATGGTCCTCTTGAAATCATTCATTTATACTGATATTTGGGGTCCTGCCTCTATTGAATCCATTGATGAAAACAAATATTTTGTTATTTTTGTGGATCATTTCACTGAATACATCTAGCTTTATTCCATTAAATACAAGTCTAATGTCTTTACTATTTTTCCAACATTCAAAAATCTTGTAGAAAACTACTTCAAAACCAAAATCATTTCCATTTATTCAGACGGTGGGGGTGAGTTTCAAAAACTCAAACTTTTTTTAGCAAAATTTGGCATCTTTCATCTCATGATTTTTTTAGCAAAATTTGGCATCTTTTATCTCATGACACTACCTCATACACCTCAACATAATAGCATTGTCAAACATCATCATCATCATATCGTTGAAATCGGTCTAACCCTTCTTAATCAGTCGAATCTTCCTCTTAAATTTTGATCCCATGCCTTCCAAACAGCCACCTACCTTATAAATCATCTTCCCACACCTATTTTACATAATCGCGCTTCTTTTCATGTTCTTTTTGGTGAAATTCCAAACTATTCCAAACTTTATATTTTTAGTTGTCTATGTTTTCTTTGGTTATGTCTATACAACAATCACAAGCTTGAACCTTGTTCCTGTCCTTGTATTTTACAAGGCTATTCCTTTAACTAAAGTGCATACAAATGTTTTGATCCATCAAAAAATTGTATTTTTTTATCTCGTCATGTGGTCTTTGATGAAACTGTTTTTCCATACCTATCCTCTGCCCAACACCCTCCTTCCATTCCCAATTCTTCTCCTCCATCAGATGACTTGCCTCCCATCCATGTTCCACTCATTACTGGCCCTATACACCACCAACCATCGCTATTGCCTACCATAGTCTTATGCACAACTCCATGGTCTCCAACGATATCATCTTCTTTGGGCACTGAAGCTACTGCCACAATGGTTCCTCCTCACATCCTCCCATCCCCACAACCTACAAACACATCCATTCACATTAATACCTCATCTTCACACCTCAACAGAACACACCCCATGATTACTTGTTCCCAAAATGACATTGTTAAACCAAACCATCAACTTAATGCCATCACTAGACATAACCTCCCTGACACAGAAGAACCATCATGTGCTTCACAGGCTCTTCTGACCCAAAATGGCATGCTGCCATGTCAGATGAATTCGATGCCTTACTACATAATGGCACATGGGATTTTGTCCCTCCATCTTCATTTATAAACTTGGTTCGCTGTAAGTGGGTTTTCAGAATCAAACGCAACTCTGATGACACAGTTCATCGTTATAAAGCACGTTTAGTTGCGAAAAGTTTTCACCAGCAGTCGGGCATTAACTATAAAGAAACTTTCAGTCCTGTCATCAAGCCCACAACTATCCGAATTGTTCTCAGCCTTGATGTTACCAATGGCTGGCCCTTTCATCAACCGAATATCAATAATGCATTTCTTCATGGTACACTATTTGAAGCAGTGTTTATGTCTCAGCCTCCAGGTTTTACTGATTCCCAGTTTCCTACTAATGTATACCAGCTTCGTAAAGCCCTTTATGGTCTCAGACAAGCCCCTAGGGCCTGGTATCATGGGCTTCGCTCTTTCTTGTTATTTTATAGTTTTACAAATACGGTTTCTGATCCTTATCTGTTTATATATAATCACAATGCACAACTCATATATTTTCTGGTATACGTTGATGATTTAGTTGTCATTGGCAATGATCCTTCTTCCATCAATAGCTTCATCGCAGTTATATCAACAAAATTCTCAGTAAAGGATCTTGGCTTACTGCATTACTTCCTTGGTATTGAAGTGCTTCCCACCCCCTCAAGTCTGTTTCTTTCACAACATAAATATATTCATGATCTCTTGGTTCGCACATGCATGAAAGGTTCTAAAGAAGTTAGCACTCCTCTAATTACCACTAGCTCTCTTGTTCTTAAAGATGGTTCACCTCCTGCAAAAGCCACTGAATATAGGAGTGTCCTTGGGGCATTGCAATACTTAAATCTTACTCGCCCAGATATATCTTTCGTTGTCAACAAGCTATCTCAATTCACGCATTGCCCCATTGAATCCCATTGGATTGCCACTAAACGTCTGCTGCGATATCTTAAAGGAACTATCTTTCACGGTCTACATCTTCACAGACATCGAAATCCTTCCTTACATGCGTTTTCTGATACTGATTGGGCTGGAAATCTAGATGATCGAACTTCAACCACTGCTTATGTGATATTTCTCGGTGGCAATCCTATCTCATGGAGTTCCAAGAAATAGAGATTTGTTGCATGGTCTTCAACATAAGCTGAGTATTAAGGCCATTGCTACCACAGCTGCAGGACTTGCATGGATTCAATCTCTCCTGACAGAACTCAAATTTCCTCTCCCATGCATATCAATTATATATTGTGATAACATTGATGCTAATTATGTGTGTGCCAACCTAATGTTTCACTCTCGCATGAAGTATATTGCTATTGACTTTCACTTTGTTTGTGACAAAGTAGCTCACGGTTCTCTATGTGTCTCCCATGTTGCTACTGCTGATCAGCTAGCCGATGCTCTAACGAAGTCTCTGTCTAGACAACGTCTCTCTTTTCTACTGTTCAAGATTGGTATCTCTAATGGGAGCACCATCTTGCGGGGGCATGTAAAGGATATACACAATCCACTCAATACAAATTGACTAGTTCAGCTTGTAAACCACCAACAATTATCATTGTTGCAGTGATTGTGAACAACAAAAATAACAAAGGATAATGCTTGTGTTTAAGAAGAGATTGATGAATGAAAAGCTTGAATACTTTATTCATAACTGCAGCTCAATTTATAGAGCTGATACATAACAAACTCCTACGATCATGGTCCTACATTCAAGCCATGATCAATTAATAATGGAACTAACAGAGCGGCGAAATAGCAGCAAGAACAAGAGAATAGGAACAAAATTGACTAAATCAAAAATTAAAGAAAAAATAAAATTCCAGCTCAGCTGAACATTATTTCTAACAACAATAATTCAAAAGAGTTTTTTATCTTTTATCCTGAGCTGATGTAACAAACCTTGTAATCTGCAGCTCATGCAAAACGTAAAACATGTATTTAAACAGCAACAAGTATACTGAATAAAGAATCAAGAAAATTATCTCAATTCATCTGCTTCTTTAGAGGATGCACTGCTCTATTTTTTCCGTCGTATGCTTTTTTTTCTTAATTCTTTAACTAATTTTTTGAGGAAAAACTTCAATGATTTAAAAACAACCAGTCTGCCTTTCACATGTTCTACTTTCCTTCACTCTTTTATCTCATTTTACTACCTGCAATTCTGAAACGAAAAGGTGTTTTCTTATTCAGATGGTTTACTAGCCCAACCAAGTGAAAGCATTTCAAGAACAGCAAGGACAAATGGTGAAATATAGAGGACCGGATAAAGAGGCAGGCTAGAACATGAAATGCTTTTGAATATGTGAGCTTGGGAAAAGGTTAAGGGGGAAAAGTCTTCTTGAGTTTGTTAGACAATTATTCAACATTACTGTTTATCAGTGCAAAGAGATGCATGAAATGCATTTGGTTACTGTTGTGAGACTTAAAGTTGGTGATTCACTGGTCATTCTCTTATTCAAAATGTTACTTTAGGTAGGTAGTGAATGCAATGGAATGTGTTTTCTAGTTGGGCTTTTGGTGAATTTCATCTTTGTGTTCTAAGGTGTTTGGGAGGGGGTGGAGAGCTGTGAAATGGAATCATGGTACTATAGTTAACAATTCTTCTGCTCGTTCCTGTGCAGGAATTACTCTTATTTAGGGTTTGGAGCGGAGATGGCTCCATTAACTCACTAAGGTATTTGGCATTGCAGATAGTGTCAGGTTTCTGCATGAGATTATTAACCATCCAATCCCTTGTGTTGAAGTTGACGCAACATGGTCTCCCAGCAAACAAACCAGCCCCTGGAGTTGACTGAAGGACTGCACCGCATGGTAAGTATGACGATAATCACCTTGCAGGAAATTTGAAACAGAAATCAGACACCAGTTTTTATTTCGTTCACTTAGTAGAATCACATCACAGATTTCTTTGAGGCCAAAGATTTTATGTTTTTTGAATATGGCGGTTCTTTTTATGTAAAATTGTGGCAATTACAGCCATTTGTCTTTCGGTTCTAAAATAGGTTTTTTTTTTTTCCCCTGGTGAGTGTTCAATTCTAGCCCTTGAAAAGATACCTTTTTTGTGTTTCATGTACGTTGAAGACTTTTATCCTCAAAAGATTTAAACATTTTTTTTTCAAGTAAAATAACTTGACCTGTGCATGCACAAGAAGCTTGCTCATTTGAGTTGACAATAGTTGAATTTGCAATCATACAGTATTTGCTGAAGTGAAGGATCTTCATGCTGATAAAATTGCATTTGAAGCCAACGCTGATCATCACTGGGAAAGTTGCACATTTATTGTTAAAATGTGTCTTGAATTTTTCTAAGACTACATTAAAAGCGAGCCAGTCGAGTTGGAACCTTTTTTGCTTCTACATGAACCCTAAACGCTGTAGAAGTTGGTGATACAATTCGTGAAGCTGTTACAACTATCAAAAATGGTGTGAAAGACAAACCACCCATGTTTGTTCAGACCATTGAGCTGCAGATTGGTTTGAAAAACTATGAGCCCCAGAAGGACAAGAGGTTCAGTTGCTCTTTAACAAAGGTTATGGATCATTTTCATAAGCTGAGGGGTTTTTCTAATCACACATTTAGGCTTGCTTTTTGGCTTTCTATGCATAAGGAGTTCTAAAATTTTCCTTTGGAAGATGCATCTGCAATTATGGCTTTCAACCCTTAGGTTCCCTACTACTTATTTTAACATATTTCAGTCATCGGTCTCACCAGCTTGTCGTACCTTCTGTTTCATTTTTAAAATTGGCAGGCGCTTGATCTTCAGCAGTGATGTTAGATGAAGATTCGGTGCAGTATCTTTAATAAAGATACGGTCTCAGTATTCTGTTACTTATTTTCAATAGAAAACTCTCTGTCCTGCTCACAGTAGAGGCGTGTATTTATGATATTCTCTATCAAATTGTGAATACTTCTTTTGGTCGCAGTTTATTTTCTCATTAGATTTTCTTTTCCATTTCGGATCATTATAATTTTGACCTTCATTGAGCTAGTATTTCAATTTCTGTTGGTATGTGGCTGAATTTATGAGTTCAGGAGTTATCCATTTGACACATGTATGTTTGTATTCAACAATGATTTAGAGTTTATGTTTATCAGTAGAAGCTCTGCTCATTGATCTGGCATGGGGATTTTGCAGGGTAAGATACATGAATAGCTCAAATTTTTTTCTGAAGCAGAGTAGTGAGACTTGAAGGAGGTACTCTGCTGGTGAGTTTTCTTGAAGCAGTTATTTGTTAGCTAATAGCTTTCAAGTTAAGGTTTGATGACATATATCATTTTGCTCTAAAGGATTCTCGCCAACAACATGGAATTCAAGTTAAATCTATTCCAGGTATGATTCTTTATATCTCCTAAAACCTATTACCTAGTTTAGTCTTGTAACTAAAATCACGGCCAACTATCCCATGATGAAAGCAATCTGGAAAAGACAAGCCATCATGGGAATTATAGTGAAGTTCTATGTAATTATGATGGTCACAACCATATTTTAATAAGAAACATACTTTCGTGTTCAGTTTCATGCAAAGATTGTGATGTTTCATTGCAATCCCATAAGCACAGTAGATTTTTTTTCTCAAAACAACAGTGTTTTTATATACAGTCCTTCACCTGATTTGAAGTCCTGGAAGGAGCAGCAATCGATCAAGACACCGTCAATATGTGCATCTCTCTGACATTCCAAGGAAATGTCTCTGCCTGCAGAAGGGTTTAATCATTTGGGGGTGTTTGGTAAGTATCAATCATTTGAAGATATGGATCAATGCTGCCAATTATTCAACAATGCTGCATAAACTGCACGATCCGCCAAATGGGCCTAAGAGCATTGTGATGTAGGATTGTCAGGTAGGTAGTGAATGCAATGGAATGTGTTTTCTAGTTGGGCTTTTGGTGAATTTCATCTTTGTGTTCTAAGGTGTTTGGGAGGGGGTGGAGAGCTGTGAAATGGAATCATGGTACTATAGTTAACAATTCTTCTGCTCGTTCCTGTGCAGGAATTACTCTTATTTAGGGTTTGGAGCGGAGATGGCTCCATTAACTCACTAAGGTATTTGGCATTGCAGATAGTGTCAGGTTTCTGCATGAGATTATTAACCATCCAATCCCTTGTGTTGAAGTTGACGCAACATGGTCTCCCAGCAAACAAACCAGCCCCTGGAGTTGACTGAAGGACTGCACCGCATGGTAAGTATGACGATAATCACCTTGCAGGAAATTTGAAACAGAAATCAGACACCAGTTTTTATTTCGTTCACTTAGTAGAATCACATCACAGATTTCTTTGAGGCCAAAGATTTTATGTTTTTTGAATATGGCGGTTCTTTTTATGTAAAATTGTGGCAATTACAGCCATTTGTCTTTCGGTTCTAAAATAGGTTTTTTTTTTTTCCCCTGGTGAGTGTTCAATTCTAGCCCTTGAAAAGATACCTTTTTTGTGTTTCATGTACGTTGAAGACTTTTATCCTCAAAAGATTTAAACATTTTTTTTTCAAGTAAAATAACTTGACCTGTGCATGCACAAGAAGCTTGCTCATTTGAGTTGACAATAGTTGAATTTGCAATCATACAGTATTTGCTGAAGTGAAGGATCTTCATGCTGATAAAATTGCATTTGAAGCCAACGCTGATCATCACTGGGAAAGTTGCACATTTATTGTTAAAATGTGTCTTGAATTTTTCTAAGACTACATTAAAAGCGAGCCAGTCGAGTTGGAACCTTTTTTGCTTCTACATGAACCCTAAACGCTGTAGAAGTTGGTGATACAATTCGTGAAGCTGTTACAACTATCAAAAATGGTGTGAAAGACAAACCACCCATGTTTGTTCAGACCATTGAGCTGCAGATTGGTTTGAAAAACTATGAGCCCCAGAAGGACAAGAGGTTCAGTTGCTCTTTAACAAAGGTTATGGATCATTTTCATAAGCTGAGGGGTTTTTCTAATCACACATTTAGGCTTGCTTTTTGGCTTTCTATGCATAAGGAGTTCTAAAATTTTCCTTTGGAAGATGCATCTGCAATTATGGCTTTCAACCCTTAGGTTCCCTACTACTTATTTTAACATATTTCAGTCATCTGTCTCACCAGCTTGTCGTACCTTCTGTTTCATTTTTAAAATTGGCAGGCGCTTGATCTTCAGCAGTGATGTTAGATGAAGATTCGGTGCAGTATCTTTAATAAAGATACGGTCTCAGTATTCTGTTACTTATTTTCAATAGAAAACTCTCTGTCCTGCTCACAGTAGAGGCGTGTATTTATGATATTCTCTATCAAATTGTGAATACTTCTTTTGGTCGCAGTTTATTTTCTCATTAGATTTTCTTTTCCATTTCGGATCATTATAATTTTGACCTTCATTGAGCTAGTGTTTCAATTTCTGTTGGTATGTGGCTGAATTTATGAGTTCAGGAGTTATCCATTTGACACATGTATGTTTGTATTCAACAATGATTTAGAGTTTATGTTTATCAGTAGAAGCTCTGCTCATTGATCTGGCATGGGGATTTTGCAGGGTAAGATACATGAATAGCTCAATTTTTTTTCTGAAGCAGAGTGGTGAGACTTGAAGGAGGTACTCTGCTGGTGAGTTTTCTTGAAGCAGTTATTTGTTAGCTAATAGCTTTCAAGTTAAGGTTTGATGACATATATCATTTTGCTCTAAAGGATTCTCGCCAACAACATGGAATTCAAGTTAAATCTATTCCAGGTATGATTCTTTATATCTCCTAAAACCTATTACCTAGTTTAGTCTTGTAACTAAAATCACGGCCAACTATCCCATGATGAAAGCAATCTGGAAAAGACAAGCCATCATGGGAATTATAGTGAAGTTCTATGTAATTATGATGGTCACAACCATATTTTAATAAGAAACATACTTTCGTGTTCAGTTTCATGCAAAGATTGTGATGTTTCATTGCAATCCCATAAGCACAGTAGATTTTTTTCTCAAAACAACAGTGTTTTTATATACAGTCCTTCACCTGATTTGAAGTCCTGGAAGGAGCAGCAATCGATCAAGACACCGTCAATATGTGCATCTCTCTGACATTCCAAGGAAATGTCTCTGCCTGCAGAAGGGTTTAATCATTTGGGGGTGTTTGGTAAGTATCAATCATTTGAAGATATGGATCAATGCTGCCAATTATTCAACAATGCTGCATAAACTGCACGATCCGCCAAATGGGCCTAAGAGCATTGTGATGTAGGATTGTCTTTTCTTCCAATAAGATTCTGAAGAATAGTTTGGAGCTGCTGGTAGAGCAAATGGTGGAAGATGATCTTCCATGGTGATACTTTATGAGGTAAACATGCAACCAGAACATATTTCAATTAGCAGTTTTGAAGGGTATATGTATGTTTTTTTCGTTTGTCATTTTCAAAATATTAATACGGTTCTGGAAAAAAAAGGTCAGGCAAAATGTTTCTGCTTCTCAAGATTGGTGGAAACTTAAGGAGATTTTTGGTTGGAGGATTTTGAATTTGATGCGGTGATTGCAATTTTGAAGTCCCACATCAAAGATCGATTTGATTTTGTGAGGAAGCACTTAGTGATTTATAAACATGTTAGGTTTGAACTAATTATAAAGAAAACTTAAGGAGATTTACATGAGGATTTTATGATAGCTCTAATAGCTCTAAACATAAATTACTGTAAATTATAATAATGAAATTTATATAAGTTTATTGTGTAAATAAAAAGATTATAAGAGCTGTTTTAGTATGTTTACGTTATATTTTTTTTTTATTTAGAAAAGCTGTTATTGTGTGTTCCACATGTTCTAATTATTAGGTGGCACTCGTAACA